ATTTTCCAGTAATAGAGAGCAATTGTAGTTGTTAAGTGCTAGCGTGTCAGTTCTGACTCATAGAGACCCTGTATAGGATTTCCAAGGAGTGGCTGGTGAACTTGAACCACCGACCTCTTAGTTCAAATCGACCTTGTAGTCCAGCGCATTAACCCGCAATGCCACACCAGGTCTCCACAGAGAAAAATAGAGAGGTGCTGATACTGCATCCTGTTAAAGGCGGGAAACTTGTGAGATCCAGAAAAACGAGGTAGTTCCATTGAGTTCTGGCTCTGCCAGTTTTCACTGTATAAAGAATGAGACAAGATAGATTTGATTTACTGTATATATGTTATTGTTAAGTGCTGTCAAGTCGGTTCCAACTCATAGCGACCCTGTATAGGGTTTCCGAGGAGTAGCTGGTGAGCTTGAACCACTGACCTTGCAGTTAAAACTGACCTTGTGATCCACTGCTTATCCTATAATGCCACACCAGGACTCCTCACTGTGTATATAAGTAGATATGTATCGAATCTGTCTATCTAGCTTAGATTTGCGTCTGCATATTTCCGTTTTGACGAAGGAAAGCAGTTATGAGTTTTTCTGTGTTAGAACTCCAGGAATTGGGTCATAAAGTAAGCAAGTATTTTCTTAGACTGAACCACAAACTCAGGCTGTGGTGGGAACTCCCTGGGGTTCCCCCACACTCATTCTACGTCAAGTTGTCAAGTTGTGGGTAGGTAGATGTGGGTGATGTTTTCACGACTCCCTTCCCCAGAGGGTGCAGTTGGCACAGTAATCCTCAGAGGTTCAAACTTGCACCCATTTCTCACTCCAAAACCAACTCAAGCTTAATCACATAGCATTTACATTTTGACAGATATGTGGGCTCTCTTATCTTATTGCTGTATCCTGGGCCTGGAGAGCCCTCTCCCCTGCTCCCTCCTCCTCCTCCTCATCCTTGGGTCAATGGGAAGTCATTTACTTTAGATAACTTTTCCTGATCTTGACCCCAGACTTGATGTCCCTTCTCCAGGTCCTGTAGCACTAAGCAGCTTTATTCAGTTGCCCAGTGACTTGTCTGCATGCTGGGCTGGCCTTGGGGGCTGTCCACAGGCCCAGCACATAGTGGAAGCTTGGTGCAGAGTTATGGAATCAATGTTGAACTGTGCCACTGAGTCAGCCTTGCTTGGCGGGTGCACCCCTCAGAGTCTCCTGGTATGTTTTGAAATTGTTTAGAACTCACAATCTGGTAACATAAAAATAGCGGCTGTTCTTCTTACTACTGGATCCTGAGAGAAACTGGACATCAGCGTCCCATGAGAAATGAGAGACCTTCAGCTTCTTTTTCTGTTTAAGTTTCATAGGATTCTGTGCAAGGGTGGAAATCACAGGATGCATTTATTATAAAGGAGCTCAGTGGCTCCATAGGATAAGCACAGGAAGCTTGGCAGTTTGAGCCTACTGCTGCTCTGCATGAGAACGATGAGACTTTCTGCCCCTGCAAAGGATTTAAAAAACCCATAGTGGTGATGGTGATGTGCCCTCAAGTTTGTTCCCTAGAAAGAGTTTCCAAGGCAGTAAATCTTTACAGGAGAAGAAAGCCTCATCTTTCTTCCACAGAGTCGCTATTAGACTCGAAATGCCGAACTTGCAGTTAGCATAATCACTCTGCTACCAGCGCTCCCTGTGTTGTTGTTAAGTGTCGTTGAGTCGATTCCGACTTATATAGGGTTTCTGAGGAGCGGCTGGTGAGTTTGAACCACCGACCTTGCAGATCAAAGTCCAGTACTGATCCTACAGCGTCATACCAGTACAGGGTCATTATGAGTCAGAACTGACTCTATGGCACATCACAACAATGGCCTCTTGTGAATGAATTAATGCACTGAACAAATGAATGACTCAAGGTTGCCACGGTGGACGAGAGGACATTAATGCTCCGGATGCCATAGGAGGATGCCAAGGGAGTTCAGTCGTTTGCTCCTTCACTGGCCAGCCTCCAAATGTACCATATTTCTATGGAGATAACATGTGACATGCATTTATTTATTATTATTTTTTTTGCACACCACACACCCCTTACATTAGTTTCCTTTGCATGCTAGTCACGCCTTTACACAGGTGCATGATTTGTTTGGAAATCAGTAATTGAGCACTGAGTGCAGGGGTGCTGGGCTCTTTCTTGCCCTCCGAGTAGAGTTGAGGTGCTTGCTCACAGCATTGAGTCTCGCCAGCTCTTTCTCTTCTCCAGCTCTTCCTCCCACTCGTAATTTGCTGTTTCACCCACTGCGGGTTGGGAAGATGGAGCATCAGAGTTCTCAAAATGGTTCTGAAACGTGATTTAATTGAGTCCTTTGGGGCCTTTGCTAAGAGGAGTGTTCAGAATGTTTTTCTGCACGAACCTCTGGCTTCCGTTGGGGTTGATCTGAGGCCTTTAAACTGTGTTCCCCTGTGTCTCAGCTACCTGGTGGTGTAATTGGCCTACCTACCAGAGGTGAGTCAGAGGTAGGGAGACCAGGACAGCTCTGTGCCTTTTACATCCACCAAAGGAGCTTACAGTGGGCACTTTCCTGAGTCTGGGCTGACCGAGGGAAAAGAAGCAAGAAGGAAGAAAGCACTGTGACCCCCAAAAATTGTGGTCAGGCTCACGTGAGGCTCTGTATTTATATTCGCGGTGGGGGTGGCATTTCCTGTTTATCAAAACTCAACTTAAGAGTCCAATCGTCCAACTTTAATAGAAGCACATCATTGTAGGCATATATTTATGTCTTGAACCCAAATAGAAAGTCCACAACTTTTTAAATTGTCATAAAGGACTTTGAGAAAATTCCCATTCCTGATAGTGATTGATTTCTGACCTTATTAGCTGTGAGAAGCTTTTCACTGTAGCAAATTGATGCACCGCATGGAGCTTCATCGGTAGTGCAGCTAAGTGAATTTAACTCCCCACTAGGGAAGTGGCCCCAGAGATCCTGTGGTCAGTGCAGCTCTCCTCAGGCTAGGAGGGGACCACTTCTGGTTGAGTGATCTCCGACTTCTGAGACAATGAAGCCATTCTCTCAGGAAAATCCATTTTTGGCTGCTTCTCCGTAGGGACAGGGAGGAGGCGGAAGAGGCTGCCTGGGACTCCACACCCTCCTTGTGTTTTAGGACCTAGAGTGAGCCTTTAGGTTTTAATGAGTTTGATTGTTTCCATCGCAGCCAGTAGTGGGACCAGTTCAGCAATGCATTTGAGTATTGGTACCTGAGTCTGTTAAGAAAACAATCCTATTTCTGGCTTGTCTCTTCTCCCCTAGGTGAAACAGGTTGTAATGAGAAAGGCAGAAAATCAGAGAACTTTCTGCATGAAGGGGACTCTGTGCGTCACTGGGGCCAGCCACCCCCATTTTACAGATGTAGAAACTGAGGCTGGAAGACTGGGATCCCTTCACTCCTGGGTAGCTAAATAAGGCCTAGAGCCCAGGTGTTCTGACTGTCGATTGAATGATGAGACTGATGAGCGGGTGAAGCCTGTGTCTGTCTTGGCACAATCAAGGAGATCACATTTATTAAGATGCAATCTACCTGATTGCAGAGCTGTGAAAGGGGGTGGTGAGACCAGAGTTGGTCTCGGTGTGGGGGAAGGGAGATTACACAGACTCTCTGGGGTTGTGCAGCTGGTTAATGTGTTCGGCTGCTAACTGAAAGGTTGGAGTCCACCCTGAGGTATCTTGCAAGAAAGACCTGGCAATCTGCTTCCCCCCAAAATCAGCCCTCTCAGTGCACAGTTCTACTATGAGACATCCAGGGTCGCCAAGCCTTGGCAACTGGCTTCCATTGCTTGTGAGATTATAAAATGGTAGCTCTTTCTGCAGGGCAATTTGACAGTCTGAATATGAAAAGCTTATAAAAAGATAAGTTTTCCCTGAGGAAGTAAATAAGGATGTGCATAAAGAAAAGTAGCTGTGAAGATGTTTTTGTCAACATCATTTCGATTAAAATTATTGGAAAAGGGGGCAGTTGGTTGAATATATATGTGTGGCCTTTGTATAATTTAAGTATGTGACCTTAAAAAATGACATTGTCTTAGATTTGTTTATAAGTTACTCCATCCAAACAATGAAATGTAAACAGAAGAAGGTTGCGGGGGCGTTGCTGAAAGATGAAATCGGATGTGGGAAATGTGAGCCTGTGAAGCAGAGTGATAAGTGTGTGGGTTCGTTACACGAGTCTCCTTTGTCTCTTAGGAATTTTCCATAATGAAAAAGTAAAACTGCATACACACTGGTGGAGTTGCAGCCTTAGTTTAACGCCCGGACTCCTGGTGTGGCGCTGTAGGAACAGCACTGGACTGTGAACCACAAGGCTGGCAATCCAAACCCATCAAATGCTCCTCGGAAACCCTATAAAGGGTTGCTATGAGTTGGACCTAACTTGGTGGCACTTAACAACAACCATATTTCTTAGGGAGATTAGTCTTTTGCTCTTTCCTTACCCCACACATTGAAAAGAGATGATGACGTTCAAAATACATCAACTGCAATGGGACACTACTTCTAAGGTATTTGAATAGAAAAGTACTACGAATACAGTAACATCTGTGAGAACCGGAACTCAACAGGACGGCCTTGTTTTTCCAGGTCTCACAAGTTTTCTGTCTTATTCTGTCTTATTTCTGCATTCTTATTTGTAATCACTCATTTTAGCAGAAAATGTTTGCGTTTCCCTTTTCCGACATGGTGCCGCCTTACAGGTTCTGGCTTTCATGGGTTTTGCAGTAGTTATGTACAGAATTTTCTCATTTGGTTTAAAAATAAATAAGCCCCCCCCCAAAAAAAAAAAAAATTAGCCCATATGTAAAAGACCGCTGGAAAATGTGTATACTGAAGTGAGTATTACTGGGTAAGGAGGTGATGGTGATGATGATAATATTTTGCTTATTGGATTTTCGTGTTTTCTACATGCATTCGTAAACAGGCACCACAGGTTGAATATATGAGCGGCTGGGTGCCATTAAACCTCTTGCTCTTTTGAACCAGGGAAAAGCATGGAGGAGATCAAGAAGGTGTTACTGCTGGTGTTGGGCTGTGCCGTCCAGGTAGGATTGGTTGGGCAGGGTGGGTTTTGAGGGAAGGCAGCTACAATGAAGCTGCCTTCAATCCAACAGGACAGAGATGCTGGGCTCCTGGGAGAGACAGGTTTGCCATCTTGGGTGGCAGCGGTTTCTAGCGCCAGGACTCCTGGGGCAGGAGGCCAGGTGGGGCTCCTGTGGGCCAGGTGTACCATTAGAGCTCCATCCCCAGCATCCCAGAAGCCAGGCCCAGGCCCACTGCTGTCAAGTCAATTCCAACTCCCAGGACAGAGTGGGAATTGCCACGTGGGCTTTCCAAGTCTGTCAGTCCTTACAGAAGCAGACAGCCTCGTCTTTCTCCTACAGAGCAGCTGGTGGGTTCAAACCACCAACCTTCTGGTTAACAGCCGAGCTCTTTAACCATTGTACCTCCGGGACTCCTGTCCCCAGTATGTTGTTGTTAAGGGCCGCTGAGTTGGTTCTGACTCATAGAGACCCTGTATAGTAGGAAGGATTTCCAAGGCTGTGAATCTTTGCAGAAGCAGAAAGCTTCATCTTTATCTTGTGGAGTAGCTGGTGGGCTCAAACCACCAACCATGTGGCTCAAAGTCCAGTGTTTAACCTACAGAACCTACAAACTCCCCATGCTCAGGATAGGAACTATCTGAACAAGGGTCAGCAAACCACAACCTATGGTCCTAATCTGGCCCCACCACCTATCTTTTTAAATAAAGTTTTATTGGAACACAGCCATGCTCATTCCTTTAGCTGTTGTCTATGACTGAGTACACACTATAGCAGGAGAATTGGGTGGTTATGACAGAGACTGAAGGGTCCACAAAGCATACAGTGTTTACCCTCTGGTCCTTTACAGGTCAAGTTTGCTGGCTCTTGGCTTAAAACAGAGGTGGTGGTTCTTTTTTTTTGGTGGTGGAAACAAATCAAATCAATTTCTACACGTACAATCCAGTGACACTGGCTACTTTCTTGATGTTGTGCCTCCTTTCTTGATACACAATTCCGAATTGTTTCACCTTCATTAAACCAGCTTAGTGCCCCCTAAGTTGCTCCTCTAAACTTTCAAGTTTTTGTCAATCTGATCCCATATAGAACATGATGCTTGAGGTGGGCATTACATTCTAATTGGGTTAAACAACTGTTTGGAATCCTGGTGTGGTGCTGTGGGATACAGCACTGGACCATAAGGTCGTTTTGAGCTACAAAGTTGCCGGTTCAAACTCACCAGCTTCTCCTTGGAAATCCTATACAGGGTCCCTATGCATCAGAATTGCCTCAACAGTTCTTAACAACAACAACTGTTTGGTTTAAAGGTGGCTTCAGGGAAGTAGGGGTTCTTGATCTTGACTTGTTTTAGAATTCACCTGGCTTTTACGATAAAATATGTCCCAGACCAGCATTTTCAGTCTGGAATGGGGCTTGAGAATGAGCTTTTGCACACACACACACACAAAAGCTCCCCAGGTAATGCCAGCATGGGCGATCTGAGCACATTCCAGAGAAACATCAGTGGAAGGGCTGGTGGGAGAATGAGAATATTTGTGGTTATAAAAGGGAAAGACAGGGTGAACAGTTCATTTTGTAACAGCAGTTCTGTCCCTATGGTGGCCTTGGGTTAGCCTTCTCTTGCAAAGTGGCTTCCACTAACACCTGTAACACTCCACAGTGTGAGAGGAAAGAGGAATTCATTGAAAGGATCAAAAAGCTGGATATTGAGACCCAGGCTGGTATCGTCGCCCACATTCAGGAGGTAGGTGGGGACCTCAAGGGGGGGCTCAGCTGGGCCTGTCGCCTCTGTGGCAACCAGGAGGAAAAATGCAAAAGGGGAAAAGTTTGAACCTGTGAACGGTTTTGATTAATTTTAGGTTTCAGACATCCCAGACACATTGATTCTGTTTAGAAAGGTGTCCATCAGCAAGCAAAAATAAGATGAGAGTAAAAAAATTTTTAGATGTCAAAAAAAAAATCCACGCCTCCATCAAGCCTTCTTTTGCCTCCTTCTTGCCTAATATGGACTCAGACTATTTTTAAGAGCTGTCAGATGGTTTAGGCTCAGAATTTGATGTACAGGCTCTGAAAATGCATTCTGGCAAATGTCAGCTGGTTGACCTTTTTGGAGAGAGCTTCTCCATTCTTGTCACTGATGGGACAAAGCAGCAGACTACCACCTCTGTGAAGTCAACGCCAGCCCGCCCCAGGGGTCTGCCCAGGACACTCAGCCTGGGAGGGTGGGGGCATGAAGATGGATGAGGCAGACCCTCCTGGTCCCTCTGTCATTGATGCTGAGAATCGCTGTTACCTGAGCACTGAGCAGGTGCTGTGGTGGTTAGGTACTGTTGAATCGGCTCAGATAGTAACAGAACAAAACACTTCACGGTACTGAACAGATGTGATCCCTGGAAATTAAGCCTGCTAGTGCAGAGGGGGCACCCACCATAGAAATTTACTCCCTTGACATCCACCCCCTTCCTCCAAAAAGCGTTGTGTGTGGTAAACATCTTGGAGGACAAGGAGCTGAGATAAATGCATCAAAAAGACACAAACGCTCAGTAAGAGGCAGGGCATATTCCTGTGTGTCGGTGCTGACTGGGCCCCGTTGGGTCTCAATTTAGAGGCAGGGAAATTCAGAGTTCTCAACTACAGTGTCAGCTTTGAACTGTCTTGCAGTTTCTTTTTCCTCGAGTATCTGTATTGTAAGAAAGCATCTACCTGGGGACTGGGTCCCGTGAGATTAGCTGCTCCCTTGCCTGCTGGCTGTCTTTCCTACTTAGCCTGGAGAGTGTTTTTTAAAAATAAAAATAAGCAGCCACAAGAGTCCTGTGTGATCATCTAATTCTGTGGCTGGCAGTGGGGCTGGGCTACAGCATTCAGTGGGTGCTTTGTAAAAATCCAGTGCCCAGACTCAACCAAGAGTCCAACCGAGTCAGAATCCAGGCAGGAGAGAGGTGACCGTGGTATGGATGGGGTTGAGCTCTGGACACTGGGTAGAGAGCAGGCCTGGAGCCTGGCCTTCAAGAGGCCCTGCTCCAAAGAACAAGGTCGGCCCTAAACCTCAGAGGTCAGCTGTGTCCAGACCTGTCCTGGATGGAGAGGGGAAGGGCGTGATAAGACTCTAGGCATCTCTGGGAGCAGAGTGTTGACCTGGCTTCGTGTTTTAGCTGTTCGCTCCCACTTTGCACTAAACCTGGGAAAATTTACAGATTTCTCTGGTGTGCCAGCCCAGGTTTAGACATCTTCATTTTCCCACATAGAATCTGTGCACCTTCCTAAAATGGGAAGATGACTCGAAATAGAAGGCGTCTGACTCCTCAGGCAGACCCAGGGGTTCAGGGTTGGGAAGGGCAGGCAGCAAATGTCTGCTCAGTGGCTGTTAATGTGGACAAGGCCCAGGCCTTCGTGAGAAGGGCAGAAACTAAGTGGTCCCAGGCAGTACAGTGGGAATGCTTGTGCGAGCTCACCTTAACGTGGCTTTAGGTTATGAAATACCTCACGTGGTAGTATGAGGTCGCCACACACTCAACCCTCTGATGCAACATTTTTAACCTCCTGTCTTAGTTGCGTTCTGTTTTACTTCAAGAATCATACATTAGAGGGACCGTCTTCTTTCTTAGTTTCCCACCTCCATAGACGTACCTTCTTTGTGTTCTAAGTTGAAATTGTTCCAATGGAAATAACCTTCTCCAAGGATTCTTTGCTGTTGCTGTTAAATGCCTTCAAGTTGTTGCTGACTTACAACGACCCTGTATAGAGTTTCTAAGGAGCAGCTGGTGGTTTTGAATCACCACCCTTGTGGCTCAAACCGAACTTACAATCTAGTGCTGATCCTACAGTGCCACACCAGCACTCCATAGATCTCCATATACCCCTTGTATTTCCATGTAGCCCATATAGATAATGAGTCCTGGTGTTCAAACCCACCAGATGCTCCTTGGAAACCCTGTACGGTGTCGCTATGAGTCAGAACCAACTTGACGGCACTTACCAACAGCATATATACACACATACACACACATAAATGTATAGAACCAGTGAGCTCTTTGAACCAGCACACGGTTTATATTTGCGGAGCTTAGCAGAAGAAAGCTTGGCTGACACGCTCACAGAGCTCTTCTGTTGGCCTCAGAAAACTTGTCAAAGAGGCTTTACTGATGTCAGTAACATACAGGTGTGACGGATGGCCTACCTGCTGTCACCTGCGTTAACCTGGTGTAGACCTGTCCCTCCCGGGTGTGTAATACTGAGGCTGTCCTCAAAGCCTCTCCCTGCAACGAGCTGTCCCTGTGTGCCTGCAGGTGACCCACAACCAGGAGAATGTATTTGACCTGCAGTGGCTGGACCTCCCAGATGTGGCCCCGGAGGAGTTGGAGGCCCTGTCGAGAAACATGGTGTTTCACCTCCGGAGGCTCATTGACGAGCGGGATGAATGCTCCGAGGTACGCAGTCCCCGCTTCCCTGTCCTTGCCTGGACGCCTCTCGGCCTTCCCGGTGATGACAAGTACAGTGACCGGTGACTCCAGGGATTCCGGGAGGGTTCATTAACAATGCTGGGCTTCATTTGGACCCTTGGCTTCACTGCATTTGTCCCACTGATATTGCCTCTCCCTTAAGTATATAGAAGAAAGTGCTGAACTCTGAAGTTCTTTTGAACCACAAAGTCAGCAGTTCAAACCCACCAGCGACTCCTCAGAAACTCTGTACAGACTCACTGTGAGTTGGAAGCAACTCGATGGCACTTAACAACCACAGTGTGCATACCCCTTCACCAGCCTCCCTCCTGGTTTCCATGTGAAACTACCCTTGATTTTCTTCTTGCCTTTGGATTGTTTTTACCCAACACGGCCGGTAGTGTGTGGGTTGCAGGTGCATAGGGTGGGCGAAGGGTCGGGTCACCCAGTCACTGGCCTCCTCCCCTCACTCTGCCCTAGCTGATCGTGGACCTCACTCAGGAGCGGGACTACCTCCAGGCGCAGCACCCGCCCAGCCCTCTCAAGTCCTCCAGCGCCGACTCCACCCCCAGCCCCACCAGCAGCCTCTCCAGCGAAGACAAACAGCACCTGGCGGTAGAGCTGGCCGACACCAAGGCCCGGCTGCGGCGCGTCCGGCAGGAGCTGTGAGTCTTTGCTGCTACCAGGGCTGGATTTTCTATTTCGGCTTAAAACTGAAAAACCAACCTCGCTGCCATCAAGTCGATTCAGGATGTGTCTGGGGTGTGTCTCACCCTCACGTGTGGTACAGCCCAGGAGATGCCAACTTGGGTTGGGGGCCTGGGCTCTGCTCTGAATCCCGCCCCCACCTGCTCCCTTCCCTTGAGCCTGCACAAGTTGGGGGCTCAACCCATTTAGG